CGGAAGATGGCCCCCGAACGCAGCGCTACCGTCGATGCGGAAGTCGCCAAGCTCTTGTCCGCGTCCATCCTTAAGGAGATCTGTTACCCTACGTGGCTGGCTAATCCCGTTATGGTTAAGAAATCCGACTCTTCCTGGCGCATGTGTGTGGACTACAAGGATCTCAACAAGCACTGCGCGAAGGATTGCTATCCCCTCCCCGCCATTAAACAGAAGGTCGACGCTATCTCGGGGTACCCCATGCTTAGCTTCCTTGATGCGTATAAGGGGTACCACCAGATCCTTATGCACGAGGACGATGCCGAGAAGACCGCCTTCGTCACCGAGAAGGGGATGTTTTGCTACGTAAAAATGCCATTCGGACTCAAGAATGCGGGAGCTACCTACCAACGAATGGCCAACCGTATCTTCGGAAGCCAGCTGGTACGGAACATGGAGGTTTACGTGGATGACATGGTGGTGAAGAGCCAAAGGATGGTCCTCGTGGTTGACGATCTCCTAGAAACCTTCCAGACCCTCCGGTCGTCCAACATGAAGCTGAATCCTAAAAAGTGTGTGTTCTGCGTCGGATCAGGGAAGTTCTTGGGATTTCAGGTTTCCCGAAGAGGAATTGACGTGGACCCTACGAAGATTCGGGCTATCTTGGACATGCAAGCCCCGCGTTCCGTCAAGGAGGTACAAAGGCTTACAGGCTCGATCGCCACCTTAGGACGGTTTCTGTCAAAGGCGGCCGAACGAAGCCTGCCCTTCTTCCAGGTCCTCAAAAAGTCTGACGCCTTCGGTTGGACTGAGGCGTGCCAGAAGGCTTTCCTAGAACTCAAGGAGCACCTAAAGACTCTTCCGACTCTCGGTATGCCTGACCCGGGGGAAATTCTAATTCTATACCTGGCCGTGGGAGAGACGACCGTGAGTGCAGCGTTGGTGCGGGAACATGGGGGAACGCAGATCCCCGTCTATTACGTCAGCAAAGTTCTCCTACCCGCCGAGTCCAGATACACTATGGCGGAGAAGCTGATATTCTGCCTTGTGACTGCGGCCAGAAAGCTACGCCCATACTTCCAGGCACACCCTATCCTCGTTCTTACGGACCAGCCCCTATAGCAAATCCTCCGAAGATCCGACACGTCCGGTCGGATGGCCAAATGGGCTGTGGAACTAGGGGAGCATGACATACAGTTTCGGCCTCGAACTTCAATCAAGGGTCAAGCCCTAGCCGACTTCCTGGCCGAAGTTCCCCGAGGGACGGAAGCCACGAATGAAGAGTCCCCGCGGGACGCCTCCTTGGCTCCTGCCAAATCGCAAGGGTGGACGCTGTTCGTAGACGGATCTGCGTCCAGGGAAGGTTCGGGTGCGGGGGTGGTTTTGACCGATCCCTATGGGTCGGAAGTTGTCTATGCCATTCAACTGGACTTCCCTACCACGAACAACGAGGCAGAGTACGAAGCGTTGATCGCTGGGCTTTCAATCACCCGCGCCCTCGGAATCCAGGAGGTGTCTGTCTGCAGTGACTCTCTGGTGGTCGTCAATCATGTCCTCCAGCTGTACGAAGCTCGGGAAGCGGCCCTTCAGAAATACCTCCAGAGAGTCCGGGGGCTGGAACGCGGCTTTCGCGCCTTCCACATTCGGTACATTCCGGGGTCGCAAAATAAGAAGGCTGACGCCCTAAGCAAGTTGGCCTCCTCCCGTGTTGTGCGCTTGACCCCGCGTATCCACATCGAAGTCAAGACCCGCCCAAGCATTCTGAAAGACGAATCCTTGCCCGTGCTACTTGACGAAGCTTCCTGGATGGCGCCGTTCATTCAAGACCTCCGAACAGGAACATTGCCGCCAGACCCGAGGGAAGCCCAGAGAATTCGGCTCAAAGCGCCTAAGTATCTACTCAGGGAAGGGATCCTCTACAGGCGAGGGTATCTGACTCCTCTGTTGCGCTGCATTGGCCCGCGGGAGGTAGGAGCCTTGGTACGAAGCATGCACGAGGGCGCTTGTGGGGGACACTTGGGTTCGCGGAACCTGGCTAAAAAGTTGATCCGCGCCGGTTATTACTGGCCTACTCTGGCTAGGGATTGCTACGACCTTGTCCTTCGGTGCGCGCAATGCCAAAGGCATGCTCCCATTCCGCGCCTTCCACAGCACGAAATGGTCCCGATTACCAGCCCTTGGCCTTTCTACAAGTGGGGCACAGACATAATAGGGCCGTTCCCCGTAGCCCCGGGCAAGCTCAAGTTTGTGATCATCGCGATCGACTACTTCTCCAAATGGGTCGAGGCTGAGACTCTTGCTTCCACCACAGGGGAGAACGTAGCCAAATTCTTCTGGAAGAACGTAATCTGCCGGTTCGGAATCCCGAAGGTCCTCGTCTCAGACAATGGGACCCAGTTTGAATCAAAGATCTTCTCGTCCTGGTGTGAACAACTGGGGATCGAACAACGGTTCTCGTCCGTGGCCCATCCTCAGACCAACGGGTTGGCTGAGAACATAAACAAGGCCATCCTCTAAGGCATGAAGAAGCGACTCAAGAAAGCCGAAGGGCTGTGGCCCGAAGAGCTGGCACACGTCCTCTGGTCCATACGCACTACCATGAGAACAGCAACAGGGGCAACCCCTTTTAGCCTTGTTTACGGCATGGAGGCCGTCCTTCCAGCTGAGATTGAGGTCCCCAGCCCCCGTGTGGTCAATTTTGCAGAGGAAATGAACGAAGGCGAAGTCCGCTTGTGTCTCGATTTTCTGGACGAGCGTCGGGATCTAGCCAAGGCCCGCGAAGCCCGATACAAGCAGGCTGTGTCCAAGTACTACAATGCCAGGGTTCGGGCCCGAGACTTCGATGTCGGAGACCTTGTCCTTCGCCGAAATGAGGTAAGCCACGCCGAACCAACCGGTAAGCTGGCTCCGAACTGGGAGGGACCGTACCAGGTTGTCGAAGTTTCGCCCTCGGGAAGTTATCGTCTATACACGTGTGATGAGGAGCCCCGTGCCATACCCCGATGGTGGAACATCCAGAACCTGAAATAGTTCAATGCTTAAAAAGGCCCCTGCCCTCTTTTGTAATAGATATCAGCATAGGAAAGTTTCGACGCTTTTGGCAAATGTATAAAAAGGACCTCCTGTGCTTTCCTACCAAATGCCCTTTACCAGGCTGTCTCCACCCCAGTGGCCGACGGCGCCGCGTGGCCTCCGCGGCCTACGGAACCCTGACGGTCCCTGCGACCTTGAGGCCTTTACAAGGCCGTCTCGACCCCAGTGGCTGACCGCACCGCGTGGCCTCCGCGGCCTCCGGAACCCCGACGGTTCCCGCGACCTTGGGGCCCTTACGAGGCCGTCTCGACCCCAGTGGCCGATGGCATCGCGTGGCCTCCGCGGCCTGCGGAACCCCGACGGTCCCCACGACCTTGGGGCCTTTACGAGGCCGTCTCGACCCCAGTGGCCGACAGCACCACGTGGCCTCCGCGGCCTGCGGAACCCCGATAGTCCCCGCGACCTTGGGGCCTTTACGAGGCCGTCTCCACCCCAGTGGCTGACGGCACCGCGTGGCCTCCGCGGCCTGCGAAACCCCAACGGTCCCCGCGACCTTGGGGCATTTACAAGGCCTTCTCGACCCCAGCGGCCGACGGCACCGTGTGGCCTTCTCGGCCTGCGGAACCGTACTCCTATAACAACAATACGGTCGAAATATGAAATCTGGGGGAAGATACTCCTATCGCTATCGCCTCCGTCAAACGATAGCAACATGTCGGCATTAAAAAGAATTTCATATACACAACCATAAAAACATGAATAACAATGACAAAACAGGTAAACAAAACAAATGATGTATTCCGGGTCGATTGTCAAAAAAGGGAGCTCAAAATTTCAAAATGTCTTGAAAATTTTCATGTACACAGCCCTCAGACCTATACACTCGACAAAAATACAGGGGTAGCTTAACCTAATCACGTGTTAACGAGACCCTCGACCCAACTCGAAAAACAAGGCGTCCTTCTTGTATATCATGCGTTCGGCCTCACGGGTCGGAGAAGTGGGCTCGTCTCTCATAGCTGGACAGGATTCAGGCCACAATGCTACGAAGTCATATTCCTTTCCCGTCTCCACAATGAAGGATATTGCTCTCTCCAACGCCGTCCGAAGCTGTCCGGCATATGCCCGAAGAGCCTCGATCTTATCAGAGGAACGATCCCACTTCACGGCGACCAAGGCGTAAGCCTTCCGGAGGTGTACCAGCATGCTCTCAAAGTAGTTACGGGGGATGAAATTTTCCGAATCGGGTTCGGCTAAACCCTCGTCCTTCTTCTTCTTCCGTATCTTGGCTTCGAACGTCCGGAGGCGGTTGTTAGCCAACATCTCTAATTGTATGGAATTCTTTAGATGGTCTTCCCAATAAGCCTCCGTATCCCGTCACAACTTATCCAGACGGTCGTTCTCGGCCTTCGCCTTGAGGACGGCCTCACGGGCCTCGTGCAACTCCGAGGCCCGGAAGGTTTGCAGAGCTTCTTCGAGTTGCCCTTCAAGTCCTGACAGCCGCCCTCGACCCCTATCCACGTTCGGATCTGCCAAAGCCCCCCCTACGGCCGCGTATAGTGGAAAGGCCGTGGGGTCGTGATGAGGGTCGGGCAACTGCAGGTCAATCCTCGGGATCCCTGAAGTCTCCCAAAGACCCGGGGTTGCTGACAACCCTCGGGAGGTCCCGTCCGGGTGAGAGGGGAAGTCCGGAGCCGTGCCCTTCCCCTGTAAGGAAGCGCGTGTTAGCAACAAGCCTTAAGGACGCGCCTTCCCAAAGGTAGAAACAAGTTCGCACCGAGGAACAGATGCTTAAAAAGAAAAAAAAATACAGACTAAAACTGAAAATTTCCAATTGAGGTGGTTCCGTTAAAACGGACGTGGTGATAAGTCCGAATGTGCGAAATAGGAGACAACGGAGAGTAAACATAAGTTTCATTATTTAAACGAATTAAAATTCAGATACAACGGGGGAAGCCCCGGGGACACGATTGCCGGGAATCCTAACCCTACGCATCGTTCACCTTGTCTCCGCTGCGGGCATTGGAATCCGTGGACGTCCCTCCTCCTCCTCGGCTGCCGGAGTTATGTCCCTGGGGTGGAGGCTCGGATGCGACCATCTCGGGTTCCTCCTCCGGTCCCGGCGGCATGCTGGGGGGCGTCTCTGTTCCCCTCGGCATCTGGAAGACGAAGGAGGGACTACCCGGGATGTTCAGGATGTCCTCGGGCTTTGAAAGGGTGGCGCAGGATTCGGAAATCTCCTGCATGATGGGGAGACTGGCGAAATCCATATCCCGGAAGCGTTTCCGGGCCTTGCACCGCAGTCGCACTGCATACGTCTTCCCTTTCCTGTCCCTGTCAGTATACTTTTCGAGGATAGGTTGGATGTCCTCGTTCTTCTTCTGGGCCGCCTCGATCTCCAGAACGACCTTCCGCGCCCCCCTCTCCATGGCTGGGTCCATGACATCGTTTATCCCGAGGGCGAACTCGGTCGACCCTAGATACCGTTGGACCCCTGCCAAGATGTACATGTCCAGCCGAGATTTCGGGACACTCGTGGCTAGCAAGCTTTCCATCTCGAGTCGGTGGGTCAGCTCCGTGTCCTTGAGTTCCGCCTTCACCCGCGCAACTTCCTCTTCTAGGCGCTTCCTCTCTTCCTCCAGATGCGCTCTTCTCCCTTCCGAGGCCTTAAACATGACCTCCGTGTCCCTGGCCCTGTTGGCCTCGCTCGTGGCTGTCCTCTGGACCGAAGCCAGCTGCTCCCTCAGGCTCGCGCATACGGACACGAAAGTATTGACCGCCTCCACAGCCTGCAACGGGGACGACCTAGGTCAGCGGGGGAACACGCTTACGAGGAAAGTGCCCTTGAAATTAAAAACAAAAGAACTTATTTGTCTCATGCTGTCCTCCAGCCTCATTGCTCCGGTCTCGGGTAGCTCAGAGCACTCCACCCGAGGAGGATCGAAGGTCAGCAGGACATGTCCCGTGGGTATGTCTTCGAACAAATCGGAGCCCCGACCCGGGTCTGCGTATCCCTCCTTCAGAAGATCGTCTAAGAAGGACAATTCGTGGATCGATGGGAGGCTGAAGGACAACGGATCCACCTCCACAACCTCTGAGGCCCCCCTCTTCCTCTTCAGGTGGCCGGAGGGTCGGCCGGAGGAGCTCCCTCCCTTGGAACCTTCGACGGGCGTCCTCGTCGCTTGCCCGGAAGAGGCCGCCCCCGTCTTCGGCGGGGCGACCTCCCTCGGTTCCCCTTCGGCATACTGCTCTTCCTCATCTGAATCATCAAAAGCCGAATGTTTGCCCATCAAATTAGCAAATACACCTATCAACAGAAAATAACCACAGTTAGTCTTCGGGTAAGATACCTTGATTACGAGAGCTGATCCGGTCGCTTAGCGATGCGATTTGCCTATAGGTATAAGTCTTCTTCCAGCCGACCAACTTCTCCAAGTCCCTCCTCCAGGTCTCAATATCTTTCTTGTCCTTCTTGGTCCACGGGTCCAAGCTGACTGTCCCTCCCTCGTCCGACGTCCACGGAAAGAGGGAGACGAAGTTCGCGTCCACGTAGAAGAACCCCGACCTCCAATGCTTGGAGCTCTCGTTCTTCACCACCAGCTCCTTGGACGGTCCGTGTGGATTCTTCGTGAAGCTGAACCACCCAGGAAAGCTCTTCCCGCATCAGACGAGTTTGTAAAAGGACCTGAACAAGAAAATGTCGGGTTCTACCCTCGTCTTGTTGCACACGTGCACGAAGGCCAGGACTATGGTTATGAGGTTCGGGGTGTATTGAGCCAGGGGTCGGCCGTAAGCCTCAACGATCTTCCTAAACATAGGCATCAATGGAAAATGCAACCCGTATTCTAAGAACTTCTCGTATATCGTAATCTTCCCCGAAGGAGGAGTGTTGGCTCTCTCATGGCCTTCGGGTAATGTGGGGTTCACGGCCGTAAGGCTGTAATAGCTCTCCAACTCACCCAACCTCTCCTAGGTTAACGAACATTCTACGTCTTCTACCCTAACTATTTCTTTTGCCATGCGGTAAATCGAAGGAGAAAGAAAAGAAAGGAACTTACTTGTCTGCGGTCGGCTAAGAGTCACCCCCGTACTTGCACCGGCTTCGATTCCGTTTTCTGGGCTGAAAAGCACCCTCGGCCACGGAGTAGAAGAGATATGAAGAAGAAAAAACCAAGCTTAAGTGTTTATGGCTGGGAGAGAAAACAAAGGGAAAGAAATGAAGTTCTGTGTCCTATGGGGGGTATATATATATTCCCCCCCCAAGGGATGCAGACAGTCGCGTCGGTTACCTTCAGGTGCCATCATTGCGGTGCTTCGTTCCACGAAATCCAGGGCGTCCATCCCGTTTGAATATATGAGATTCCGACCGTTGGATCCGTAATGATTTAATGGAGGAGGATCCTGGGCTTTGGGGGCTCTTCCGACTGGGCCTCCGGTTCCTTTGTGTCCAGCCCAATCCGACTCCCCTGCACCGGGCTGCACAGGGGCATTTGTTGGAGGTCAATTTTGACCATCCCGGACCGGCCCAATCGGCCCACTAATCCGGGCTGACTTCATGGACCCAACTCCTCTATTTGATTAACTCTTTTGGGCCTGGGGGATCCACAAGGAATTGACACACGTCCATTTACCCTTTTGCCCCCCCTTTGACGGGGGGGGAGGGCCACAGGTATAGTCCCATTGGGGACCTATAAATACTCCTTGATTCATTTATTCTTTCCCCAATTTTTACACACTCCCGCTTTCTCTCTCTAAGTGTGATAACCAATTATCTCAGAGAACTGACTTGACCTTCGGAGTGCTAACCTCCTTTTTGCAGGTTCCAGTCTCGGTCGGACCGTTGGCCTCGTTCCCGGAATTTACCCTCGACAGTTTCTCTTAGTGAGTTTAACTAAGTAGTAGAACTTGTCATACTACTTAGTCGATTCTTTCGTTTCCGAATTCATTCTATAATAACACTATTAATAGTAGTACTTTTTGGCATAGTGTTACTACATGACGATACCATATTCACTAAAACTTTGACCAATGGACCTAGACATATTTCAATAATCCTTAATTCATTTATAAAAGTTATTTAGTCTTAAAACTTTGAACAAGTCTAGTTCTTAGTACTTCTCAGTAATGGTAAAGAGCTAGCCCTGGGGAGTTGTTTGTGGACATAATACAATATGCGTGACCATTCTAAAAGAAAGCTATAAATAATGGTTTACATATATCCGTATGTATTAGTTCTAACAACATCCAAAATCTTATGCCATTCAATCTTATTTTGTTTGTTTGTTTGTTTTTACTTTGTGCACTTAACTCATATTTTTAGAATTTGATAAGTTAAGTGATTTAAGAATTTCGACTAACTTTATTATTAGTCTAAAGCAAGTGCCTTAAACACTTTTATCAAACTGATACGAAATTCCCATTACCGAATTTTCTTTTAGTACCACATAAATTATCATGCAATGTTTGGTTAATTGAAACAATGGTCTGAAGTATATAAAAGTCACCATAATCGAATAAAGAACTGAAATTGACTTTCTTTGAATCTTGAAAGAGACTAACCGACTGTTACCAAAAGAACAAAGTAACCAGATTTTGTTCAATGTGGAAACATAAATTGAGTTCCGCCTAAAAGGTGGAACAATAAAAGTCTTTCTCAAGCCAAATAATATTTAGTGTTTAACTAGGGGGCTTAAACGTGCTTCGCACGTGCGTGAATGAAAGTTGCCGTGATTATATATTTTGAGTATAAAGTTTCACTATATGATTTTATTTATTTATTTATGTTTTTGTGAATCATGTAATTAAAGGCGTGAAGTAAACTCTTTCAAGGTACGGTGCTTACTTGTATGTTGAGCTTTAGTGATGGTGGTTTGCTGCAATTTTACGGTGGAAGAAGGGAGCAAAAAAGCACCACAACAATAGCTCAAACACAACCCATCATCCAAATTCCACCGAAAGTTGAGGTTATCTTACTGAAATGTATTAACACTATTGAGAGTAGATGACAATTCGGTTGCAACTGTGAAAGTTCAATGAATTGAAGTTTTATAATTCTACATAATCTACAAATTCGTTGTGACTTCGTATATTTTTTTTTTCTCCTGTTTCAGACTTTTGGTCTTTCTTTTCATGAATACCAAAGGTTAAAACCTTTATGATGATTAACAATGATAATTATTAGTGTTGGATAAATAAAGAGTTAAATAAAATTATAGTAATTAATTGTATTGATCTCATGAATAAATGAACAATAGACTAAACAATTATGCTTGAGGACTACCAAACTGAAATCTATATTCCCCAATTATAATATACTAGAGGGCTTAGACGCACTTCGCGCTTTCCTTGATTTGATGTAATAATAATTATATCGGAAGAAAAAGATGAAATTTCAATAATAAAAAATTTAACAGTCCTTTAATTGTTCATTTTCACTCTCTAAAACAAAACAATAAAATTAATTATAGCAAATTTATTAACGACAAACAATATTTTTTCAAATTTAGTATACGTATGAATAGTAAACTTTGAACAAAAAAGAAAAAAGAAAGATAGTCATACAAAGTGAATAAGGGACTCAATTGATTTCTTCATCACAACTAAAAAGAGAAGGCAATGAAACCAACTAAAAGATAAAGATTACCAAAGATGAAAACTACAATATTATCTTTGTAAAGATTTTTTTATGTTATTTTATTATATATTTTTTTAAAAGGTGACAACTAAATTTCAGAAGAAAAGAGGATGATAAACAAAAAGTAATTACGATTTATCTTCAAGGATTTAAGATGAAAAGATCACCATGTATAGAGAGCAAACGCACTTGAAGTGAAAGAAAAAGAGAGAATGACAAACTCTCATGATTGAGAATTATATATATCCACAAAATTTTGTACGATAAAAACCTTTTAATATTATTTTTCAGTTATAGATTCCTCAAAAGTCTCATTTATGTAATCATTAAATTAAAAAAAGAGAAGAAGAAAAGACAATCAAGAATTTCAGAATATAAAGAGTTGTTGAAATTAACTTATAACGGTTGTGTGACTTATTTAATTCACCAAATAATTAGTTTTGTAATAAAGAACTTTCAATTTGTAACTTCTAAGTCTTTTGGTTTTTTTTTTTTACTTCTGTTCTACTAAAAATTAAATTTCACATAAAAAAAAAGATACCAGAATTAATACAAAAGAAAAGATAGATAGAAAGTAAAGTTAATGCATGAGAAAGGACTACCAAACCACAAAAGCACATTCTGCAATTATATATAATGTTGATGATAACCTAAAAACTAATTGCCTCAACTATAATTATCTCACCAATGCTCCATATAGTGTGTCTTTCAACATCAATCGACTTTTGGTGATTCAAAGAACATTGCATAGATACACTTACGTGAGCAGTAATACCGAATCCACCCACCAAGTGCATATAGGTACCAGAATCAAAAGAACCGTACAACAAACAGAACAACAATTGCCATATAATTTTTTAAGGTCAAATAGAGAAGTACCACCACAAAAGTAACAACCAAAATAATTTTGTGATACTTGTACAGTAGTGCAACTTAATTATCCTTCTTTTCTTATCGAGTACTTTAGTTTCCTAAATTTTAAACATAAATTAGCACTTATAATCATCTCTTAATTTAATCAATCTCTTTTCTTATATACAAAACCAAATGAGCTCATTAAGACATTGGTAACAATAAAATTGTTCTTAACCTAACTGCATTGTGTACGAGAGGGATTGACTCTAACTTTAATGCCTTTAGTCTTAATTCGAGATGATAATTTTAAATAATGAATTTCTTATGTTCCCCTTTTCCTTATACCTTATGGAAACAAGATCTTTTATATGAATACTCGTTCCCGCCTTATTATTTTTGACAAAATATTTTATGGTGGGACAATTTTGCATTATTTTGTGGTGCTCCTTATTTCTAAAATTATATGCTTTATGTTCTATACCCTTTACATTTCTCTTTTCCTTCCAGAAAATATTATCCAAAAGAGTTGGACACGAATCAAACTAGTAAGGTTTAGATCCAACCAAACAAGAACTATTAAACTATTTTTCTTATAGTTCTTGAAATTTACACTTTGTAAAGTGTTTGGACTGAATAGTGACAGATAAAATAATAGTAGCTGAATCAAATGTAATGAAAAAATAACCAAACACAAGCTGTTAACCGTAGTCATCTCTATTCCATATTTTAAATATCAATTTATAATTAAATTTAATTAACATTACATAATTAGAACTTTATAAATTTCCTAATTAATAAATAATTAATTTGTAATTTCATTAAATTTAATAATATGAACTTAATCTATACTAAAAAAATAATAACTATAAATTAAATAATTAATAAATAAATGGTAGCTGGTAAACTAGTTAATCAATAAATAAATGGTAACAACAAATCTAAATCATTATTTAATAACTATCAAAATTAACATTACCTAAACAATTAAAAAGTATGTAGCAAAATATAAAAAATTAATAAATATAAACTTAAAAACTAATTTAACATTAACTACACAACTAGTAAATATTTAAAGTAATTATTAATGAATTCAAAAACTAATATAATTTTTTTAAAATAAGTTGTTTTAGTTGAGCCTAAGTGCTCCCGATTCAAGCCTAGCTTGTAGGTGGCGCGAATGTGAAAGGGTTGTGATTCACGGTAGTACTCCCCGAAATGGTGCTCGATTAGAACGTGCGTGTTGGTCGAAGTGAGGCTGTCTTAAAATTATGTTTCTAGCTCAATCAATGAATCGAAAAGAAAGTGAAGAAAATTTTATTAGTATTTCAGATGTTGACGCCTCCTTATCATCTATTTTCGATGTTCTGGAGTTGTTACACATGATCTTAATCATCTTAAGAATTTCCTAAAAAAAAAATCATCTTAAGAACTGAGTTTTTTTTTAGATTGAATATTTGAGAGAGCTTGTTGAAGACTAAAATGTCCAAATGGTCCCTTACATTTGAGATTACTTGAATTTATGTCCCTAACATTAATATTTCAATATCGTAGTTCCAAACATTATGTTTTCACATTTTTTGGTCCCATTTCACTGTTTCGGTCGCTTTTCCGTCAAACTCGATGTTGACCGGTAGTTGACATGCCGGTATCAGGGGCATTTTCATCTTTTCATTAATTTAAACTTTCATTGAAATTTAAATCATTAAAAATATTATAAAATTCACATTTAATTATTTATCGTGAAAATATTATTTATTAATTTAAAATATTATTATAAAATTAAAATTTACATTATTTTAGAAAATTACTTTTTTTTATTTATCATTTATGCTGGATACAAAATAAAGATTAATTACTTTTCATTTTTAACCCCGTATCGCTCTAAAATTTTACCACACTATAGTAACAAATTCAAAATTAATTTTTTTGCTTAAACAAAAGGAAAAGCAAACTAAATTTTTTATTCTAATTTTCACCTACCAATTTTTTATTTGGTCGAAGTAAAAAATCCAACGGGCCCAAAGGAAAGAAAATTGAGAGGGCGAAAATCCGGATAACAAATGGTTTATTTTAATTTTTAGTTTGAATTAGAGATATAATTTAAAATGTGGTTTTAGTGAAAATTCAAAAAATTGTTAGGATAGAAATTCAAATAAAATAATATTATTTTTACACCACCACCTCTACACCTCTACTGCCGCCTCCCGCCACCGGGCCACCTCCTGTCGCCGGAATCTCGCCGGAATTCGGTCTGCCGGTCGCCGGCCGGCGACTGCCTGGCGGCTGCAGGAGGTGCTTCGGCGGTGGTGGAAGTGTGGAGGTGATGGTGTAAAAATAATATTATTTTATTTAAAATACTATCCCAACAACTTTTTGAATTTTCACTAAAATCAAATTTTAAATTATAACTCCAATTCAAAGCAATAACTAAGCCAAAAACTTATAAATTATTTTTTATCCGAATTTTCACCCCACGATTTTCTTGTATTTTTTTTTAAAAAAAGTTTAAATTTTGAATTAATTTTATAGCGCAGTAAAATTTTAGAAATAACTCAAGATTTATTATAGCGGTCAAAGTCATAAAGCTTAGTTTTGTTTTCTTTTTTTTAATTTGTATTTTGAACTGTGACTCGATAAATTTTTAAACTTACAGTGGACTAGGGTTAAAAGTGCAACATAATTAACATTACTTTGTACTTAAAGTAAATGGTAAAGAAAAAAGTAACTTTGAAAATAATTTAAATTTTAACATAATAATAATATTTTAACAATTAAATAATAAATGTGAATTATTATAATATTTTTAATTATTTAAATTTTAATAGAAGTTCAAATATTATGAAAAGATGAAAATACCCTTGATTTCAGGATCTCAACTGCCGATCAACATTTGAGTTGGACGGAAAAGTGGTCGAAACAATAAAATGAGACAAAAAAGGTGTGAAAACATAATGTTTGGGACTACGAAATTGAAATATTAATGTTAGAGAAGTAAAATTAAGTAAGCCCAAATGTAAGGAACTATTTGGACATTTTAGTCCTTGTTAAGTGTCAAAAAGTTTGAAAATAGTGAAAAAGGGTGGAAAGATGTGCGGTAAGTAGTAAAAAGTGAACGGTGTTTTCCAAATTTACTTAATTGATGGGCCATACGTTCGTACTGGCCCATAAACCAGCCCGGATGAGAAGAGTGAGGTAATTGCCTAATTGGTAAAGGTGGGAAAGGAAGCGCTAGAGGGAAAACCGAATAGAAAAAGAGGGAGGGAGGGTTTTCAAAAAATTAAAATAAAAAAAAAAGGGCAGAAAGAGAGGGAGCTAAGAGGAGAAAGAAAATAATGGAAATAGAGGAAGAGAAGACAGAAGGCTTGAAAATGGAATGCGAAGGGGCAATAGAGGAAAATGTTGATCTAGAAAGAGAAGGGAAAGAGGTGGGGGAAGAGAATGATGGCAGAAAAGAGCCAGTGGGCCTGCAAATTAGGGATTGTGGTGAACTGATTCTGGGACCGAGGAAGTGTAGAATCGTAGCGGAGCTGAAGATGCAGCAACAACAACAGTCTAGGGTTGAAGATGAGGAGGAGGAGGAGCTTGAAGAAGAGAAGATTACGGGGGGAAGAAGAAAAAAGAGAAGGCGTCCTCGGGAAGTGTGTGGGAAGGAATTTGTAGCTCATGAAGCTTCAGGTGGCGAATCTGATGTGATTAGTCGGAGGGATGGCAGTAGCGAAATCAAGAAGAGGCGAGGAAGAAAGCCATCCAAAGGTTTAGTGAAACAGCAAGAAGAGAATGATGGGGTAGCTGGTGAGTTCTTTGATAAAAAGGAGGAGGAACAGGAAGGAGTTGGCAATAAGAAGATTGAGAAAAATGGGTCAGAAGGAAAAGAAGTAAAAGCAGATGAAGAGGGGGTGACGCAAGATAGGCGAACTCGTAGTGGTAACCGTACATTACGAGATAGGGTAGTTAAAATAGAGGAAGCAGTACCCCAAGGGAGAAAATTAAAAGATGAAGATGTAAGATTCTGGTTATGTGTATATTGATTTATGGATTTTATCTTTCACCTCATGATTTTGGTAGCATTCTGATTTTTAATTTCATTTGGCAGGGTATCTATTTGTCCAACATGTGTCATCAATGCCAGCGAAATGACAAAGGAAGGGTCGTTCGGTGTACCAAATGCAAGTCGAAAAGATATTGTGTTCCCTGCATGACTAGATGGTAAGCCTCACAACGAGCTTAAAAGATGAATAATATTCTAAAAGTGGATCAGTCTTTAAGCGTTTTGCCATGTCACAGGCATGATATAACTGTTGGTCATCTGTAGGGTGTTCGGACGCTCCACGATATATTCGAGCTGAAGTTTGCATATTGTGCTGTTTGCTTATTTTGCTATTAATCTCATTCTTTTGTTCACTATTGTTACAGTAGATGGTTGACTTGGTTGTTTCTTGACTAGTGTCCTTATCATTTCGATTAGCGGTCCTGGAATATCATATTTTCTTAATGCTCCTACCCGGATTATATGTGTATCTCCTAACCATCATTTCAAGATTTGAGGACCCTTGAGAGCATAGTGTTTCCCTCCAACGTACTCACCTTAAGCAGTATATTTGAGTTTAAAGGCCTAAGGGCTTATTATTTTTGATTGATTTTGTCATATGCATTTGTTTCCTTGCCATTTGGGGTGATTGTTGGCCGTTTATTTATTTTTAATTTATCAATTTTCACGCAGGTATCCAAACGTTCCTGAAGAATCTTTCGCTGAATCATGTCCTGTTTGTTGCAAAAATTGCAATTGTAAATCATGCTTACGAGTGGACCTGTCAACTAAGGTCAGTTGCCTGTTATGTCTGTAAGGTTTTCAACCTTCTTTTCAGTTATATTGGATCTTGTTGACTTTTCAAACTGTTCTTTCTGTAGGATGATGAACTAAAGTTTGAAAGCACTGAACCAGAAAAGGTAGAGTATGCAAAATATCTTCTAGGAACGCTTCTGCCTTTCCTGAAACAATTCAATGCAGAACAGATGATGGAGAAAGAAGTGGAGGCTAAACTTAAAGGTAAATATTTCTCTTCTTCAAGATAACCATAATGTATTTATATTTATGATTTTTTGTTCTGAAAGAGAAACATCAAATAGACATTACACATGATGTGTAAAATATGAATAAACATGTTACACTCTCCCGGAAACTTAAGTAAGATTTAACCATATCACTTATTTAGGGATCATATGCCCAGTCAATATGATTGAAGTTACATCTGGCTAAAGTGACCATTGACTTTGGCAACATCAGTAATTATCCTTAACAATCAAATGTGTAGATCATATTATGATTGTTTTGCCTCTCTCTCTCTCTCTCTCTCTTTCTCTCTCTCTCTCTGTCTCTCTCTGTCTCTCTCTCTGTCTCTCTCTCTCTCTCTCTCTCTCTCTTTCTTTCTCTCATGAGTATCTTTTATGATTATAATGTATTCAAATATTTTATTTTCACACTCTTTTCTGCATTCAAAAGTCTTATAGAACACCCTTATTGTGAAACACGAGAAATGTAAATTTTGTTTAACATCTGGAGTACTTATCATTGTATGTGTATTTCAGACTTGCCAATATCAGAGCTTAAGATAGCAAGTGCTGAGTGCGAGAAGAATGAGAGGATGTATTGGTAGGTCTCACTATTCAATCTCTTCCTGTTGTAGATGTTTGATGTACACTGAAAAAATTGTTTTTTGAAATTCATTACTGCAGCGACCACTGCAAAACTTCTATTGTTGATTACCACCGGAGCTGCCCCCATTGTTTTTACGATCTTTGTCTTATTTGTTGTCGTGAAATAAGAGACGGATGTTTGCAAGGAGGTGATAAGGGGAAGGTCCCAGAGTTCAAAGACCCGGGGGTTGATTACTTGCATGGTATTGAAAAACCTAAATCGAGTTCCGGCAGGCCCAGAAATGCTACACGAAGTAGGTCTAAAGCTGATGCGAATAGTAATTGCATTGAAGTTGTAGATAGTCTTGAGGATCATGTAAAGTTAGATTATGAATGGAAACTTAATGAAGATGGTACCATCCCTTGCCCTCCCCTTGAGCTGGGTGGTTGTGGTAAAGGGGCTTTGGAACTGAGGTCTGTATTAGGGGAAAATTATGTGTCAGAGTTGTTTGAAAGAGCAGAAGGATTGGCGAAGAAACACAAAGTTGCAGATGCCATTGAGATTCCTCAGCAGTGCTGTTCTTGTTTGAAGTCCCCTTGCGAATCCAGTTCTAACAGTTATAACCTGAGGAAAGCAGCTTCCCGAGAAAATTCTGATGACAACTATCTATATTGTCCAAAAGCAGTAGAAATTCAGCCAAAGGACCAGAAGCATTTTCAATGGCATTGGATGAAAGGAGAACCTGTGATTGTGAGGGATGTCTTGGAAACTACATTGGGTTTGAGCTGGGAACCGATGGTTATGTGGAGGGCTTGTCGGCAAATAAAGAATGTAAACCATCCTCTTCTATTGGGCGTGACTGCCATAAATTGCTTAGACTGGTGTGAGGTTAGCATTTGCTTTCTTAGCTCCATAAACTTTCTGCCTGTTGCTGAGTTGTAAATATTCCTCCCCTTCACCCCCTCTTCAATTGGAGGGCTCTTGACCCTCCTAATTTTTTATATTTTTACTCTCGTAGTAACTGGTTATCGTTTCTACAGATTTGATGAATGCCCTTCATGAAGTGATTGATTTTTTTGATTCTCACACTTGAGTAACTTATTCTGATGTACTAGTTGCAACTCATTAAAATATCCCATCATGGAGCTCATTAACATATCACATCTTGCAGCCCATTAAACCATTTTTAGACAAGAGATGAATTCTTTTAAGAGCTTCCCCATCTGAAATGCCTACTGTTCTTATTAATTTGAAGTAAGAAGCTTGTCTATCTTTTCACTGCAACAAAATTACTTTGACGAATGCATTCTGTCAACGTTATCTCAACTGAATTGCACAATCTACTATTTTCGTTTATTGAAGTTCCGTATGAGTCATCTCATACCTTAAAATTATGTTATTTTTTGATTTTCTGGAAATGTTACTTCTTCATTAGATATATATAGACACACACACACATGCAGAAAATATAAATATATATTTACTTCTTCATTTATATATATATATATATATATTTTCTGCATCTTTTGCAGGTAGATATTAATATCCACAGGTTCTTCGAAGGTTACTCCCACGGGTTAGTTGATGATTATGGATGGCCACAGATTTTAAAGTTGAAAGATTGGCCTCCTTCCAGTTTTTTTGGGGAGCGTCTGCCTCGTCATAATGCAGAATTTATTAATTCGTTGCCTTTTAAAGTGTATTCTCATCCTCATAGCGGTGACTTAAACCTTGCGGTGAAGCTTCCAAAAGAATCTCTGAAACCAGACTTAGGACCGAAAACATATATTGCTTATGGGGTTGCACAAGAACTTGGACGTGGGGACTCTGTCACAAAACTTCATTGTGATATGTCCGATGCGGTATGTTTTCCATTTTCTGTTTTCCTTAATGAAACTTTTTTTACTATAGCTATCTGTAAACTTTAGGTTAATTCCTTTTTGACTTGCCAGTCTAGCTCCAGTTGTTCTGCTAGTAGGCATGACCTTATTTCTGTTAGACATAGCATGTGATAACAAATTGGAAATGCCTTTGTAGTTTTGTTTTGGTTTCCTGCTGCAAAAAGATGCAAGAGTGTCCTTTCTTGAACAGTGAGCAGGTTGCATGTAGGGTTTCTAGAAACTAATGCTGTAAATTTGAGCACATGTCAAACATAAATGGGGCTCGAGCTTAGTTTGTCATACTCAAAGTAAAATCAAGCTTTCAACTTTGGTGCAAGTTTGAGCTCGAGGCATTATTTGATTAAAGGAAATACTGTGAACTTATAGGTACGGAAAATTCACACACACAAAAACACACACGTCTTGAGCACTGTGACCTGTGGGTCCAACAAGCTAGTCAGCCTATAATTTCAAGGCTCAGCCTGGCTTGATTTTTATCGAGCTGGCTTTAACACGAACCAAGCAAGCAGCAAGGTTTGTCTAGACCCTAAGGTTATTCTTATGGATCATGGAAAGTGTAGGGTATTCAATGATAATTTTTGTTGTCCACCAAGCAAGCAGCTAGTTTGTCTAGACCCTAAGGATATTCTTATGGATAATGGAAATTTTAGGGTATTCAATTGAAAGTTTTGCTGTCCATCTCACAAGTATTGGCCCTCAAGGAGCTGACTCTAAAGGGAAACGTAGGCATAATATGTATCTGGATGAGGTGGGTGGGTATGAATCTACAATGCAATCCTCAAGTCTAAGATGATTAATGTTATAGCGATCTGAAACAGTGTCTCTTTTGGTTATAGTTGCTTAGTTCGGGGTATGGAGATACATGGACACTAAACAAAAGGCAGAAGAGATCATTTTCCTCTTTAAGAATGTATATTTGTGACACTTCTAATGATATCATCCGGATTATCTGACACCTGACTTAGTACTTGGAGGTCTACGCTTGAATTTGAGTTTCAATCTCTGAGTGGGAGTAAAGTGGAGTACTGTTTTATCTGAGTGGAACTTACCCCTCTTCTTGGTCACATTTAAGTCCTAGAAATAAAATGGCAGGAGACATTTGATAGTATTGCACCTCAAATCTATTTTTTCATGCATATAATGCACAGTTACCATATATTATCTGGTTTTTCAACGTAAACAAGTGGAGTTCCTGACATCTAGATAGTTATAAACTCAGATGGCTTGTTTTTCATCTTTTTGATATTTTCTGTCATTCAAATATCTAATATTTTCTTATGGGTCTTTGATGCTGGTATCAGGTGAATGTGTTGACTCATACTGAAGCATTTTCCCTCAAGCGTGAAACTCTTGAAAAAATAGAAGAGTTGAAAAAGAAACATGTCGCACAGGATGAAAAGGAGCTCAAGAGAGAGGAAAAGACATCCAATAACATGGTTGGATCGGCAATAGGACATGTGCAAAATAATGAGAGAAATGATCACTTCACCGCTGGAACTGTTGATAATTCTTCTATTGCCGTGGAGGTGGGTGTAACCTATAATGCTCAGACTGCGGACATGGGTTTGCTAAGTACACCAGAAATTAATGAAACAGGGGTAAGTGCGAAACTGGAACAAGAAGTTAAGGAGGAAGTTGTTCAAGAAACTTCAAGCACTTTAGAAGGGTTTGCAGACATGGATAGTGGTGCTTTATGGGACATATGGAGGAGAGAAGATGTACCCAAATTGGAACAATATCTCATGAAACATTTTAAGGAATTCAGGCATATATATTGTCAGCCTCTTGAACAGGTCAATAGTTTTGACATATCCTTTGTTTTTTTGCTCTCCAACATTTGAAGTTTCTGTTGCGCTTAGGTCTACGGTCTGGTTTATCATCTATTTATTTATCTGATTTGATTAGGAACCAAGATATATGAGGTTAGGGATATTTGTGGTCCATTTAAGCTCATCGGGGCTGTGTTATATTTTCTCCTGGTTGTGTATTTTATGTACTGAATATCTATAGGATGATATAGCCTGGATGTAGCCTGTGTCATTCTTCCACGGATATTGGTTGTGTTATATTAGCTGTAGTCTATAGGGTTGTGTAATATTAGCTGACAATAATTGGTCTTTACTCCATGGATTTAGCCTGTAGTTAAAATTAGTATAAATTTGTTGCCTTCCTTCTTTAGGATATGCTCATGTATCCATCGTAATTTTAGATCAATCTCATTTGTTGTATACCTTATGTACACAGATCAGTATTGTATTTTTAAATTAAGGAGTTTTTTGCTCTCTGGTCATCATTCTCTTACTATCAAGGAAGGGTTTGGTACAATCGTTTTCCATTGATCATGGCAAGAGCTACATCATTTCCTGGAGTTGTATGTCATATGCTGACTTGTGTAATTTTTAAAAATCATTATTCAGGTGGTTCACCCAATCCATGATCAAACTATGTACTTAACCATGGAACATAAGAGGAGGCTTAAGGAAGAATTCGGTCAGTTATTTATGCATAATTATGTTGAGGTGTTTAATGTTACCATTAAATTGTGGCTGGTAAGTTCTTAGTTGCCTGTGTAGATGTGGAGCCGTGGACTTTTGTTCAAAGACTAGGGGATGCTGTATTCATTCCTGCAGGGTGCCCTCACCAAGTACGGAATTTGAAGGTAAATCAGTTTCTCAATCTTCATAGGCTTCTGTTCTGTAGAATTATCTTTTACCGCCTCTCTTCTTCTTGTCTTCTACTTTCTCTTTGGTTTTGGAATTTTTATGTTGGATTTGCTTGTATCATTTTGAATTTATACAGCGTTTACCATGCGTTACTGATAAAAATTTTACTTATGCTGACTGTTTAGCCTAAATGTCTGCATTATTTGATTTGTTTATCATTGCCGGTGCCATCCAGATTATTGCATCAGCATACTTCTGGTGACATGCTAGTGCACAGTAGATATAGCTTTGTCATTTATTTCATTTCTAGGAAAACGGAAACATTAATCGATCCTTATAAGTTGGGTTGGCTGAACTGGTCTCAATGCTTCTCGATTTAAAATTTCTTGTTGAATTGATTACTGGATCATATTTTCGAGGGCATATTTATTGTCAGCCATTTCCGTAAACTATTAACTAATAGTTTTCGCTCCCTCAACTTGTGACCTGTTAATATTTGGGATTAAAATACTATGGAATACTATATGTTACCTTGTCAATGTTTAATGAAACCTATGTTCTGTCAACTTTAACCCAAATCTTAAGGTAAAAGTCGAACATAATCTATTTAAATAGTTAAGTAGCCCTTAAGTTTGGAATAATAGCTCAGGGGCCCCAAGTGAATGAAGATAATAATTGGAAGGTAATCACGTATGTTGCCTTGATTTTTTATTGAACTCACTGAGAATTTATCTAGGTCAGTAACGGCCCGTCCATGTGTGTGAGGCTATACTGAACTTCTTTATCTCGTTTTGCCTTTGTTTTTTTGTTGACAGTCGTGCATAAAGGTTGCCCTCGACTTTGTTTCTCCCGAAAATGTTGGTGAGTGCATCCGCATGACTGAGGAGTTTCGAGTACTTCCTCAAAATCATAGAGCTAAGGAAGACAAATTGGAGGTGTGTGTCCCTACCACAAGATCTACCAATATCAATATGTATGCTTGTACTTTATAATTGAGCAAACTATCGCCCCTTTTCCTTTATTATGTAATGTTTTGCCTTCGAGCTAGTTGCTGTTTTTGGTCATGGTCCATTTTCTTAAAGAACATAGCTGAAGTAAATTTTCCTCTCAGCTGAAAGACCTGCTTATAGCTCCCTAGTTGTCCTGATGTGTCGTATTTTCCTTTTGGGACAGGTGAAGAAAATGACTGTTTATGCAATGCAAAATGCCGTCGGTGCTCTGGAGAAAAAAATTAGGTAACATTTTGTAGAAAATTCCGTCACGTTTCTAGTTGCTTTAAGGGTATGTGCCAATGTGTAGTACTTGGATGTTGAAATACATTGCTGTGGGGTACCAATTTTTTTCTTTTTTCTCTTATATGATTATGATTAGTATGGATGATTTCTCAGGTAAAAGCAAGGCAGATGAATGAGATGTTTGTTAAGGCAAGACACTCGCTTGTGGTTTGAGTCACTCTGTAGATGCTATGGAACTTTTGGTAGGATGTGTATGCCGCCTAAAATGGACTACGTTTGTAAAATTGTAAGGAGCTAATATCATTTTAGGTCTACTAATGAAAGTACGGCTCCCTTACGTTAAGTAGTTGTCTTGTTTGTAGTTGTAGTAACAGACTAGCTGGGGCATAATTTCCATGCAATAGATGTATGTTTTGGTTGACAATATGTATGCTCAGAGGAATCAATTTCCACGAAGCATATCAGCAATCATTGTCATTGGTGAAAGTAAAGTGCCTTTCAGGGCCAATGCTTTCAAACAATTTCTCAAAGCTTGGAGCATTAGGATCTCTGCGAACGCTTTCCTAGAGTACTCCTTTCCTCGATGGCATTGGACTCCGGACACTTTTACATGAACCATTTTACTCAAATTCTAAAGTTTACTTCTGTTGAAGCTCATGTACTCGGAAAACATTTTTGTGACATACTTTTTCCGGTCAGTCGAATAAGTTAAAATTGTACCATAACAAATATAGTATTGGACGGCATGGAGTATTTATTAGTTTTTTTTTTTTTTTTGAAAGGAGTATTAAGAGCAACTGAGATTATTCCAAGAGAAGAAACGAGCATATAATAGGTACACTTTTTTTTTTTTTTTTTGGATTATAAACACAACTTCCTCTGCCAAAATTCAAAAACCAATCCCCATTCAAATATTCACCCGTCATCTGTTTTTCACCATTGAACGGAATTTTTCAAATTTTTATATGAATAATTTCGAATCTTCCTACTTTTCGATTCAATTTGATGTTTATGAATAATTTCGTCATCAAAACATGCATTTGCGTCAAGCATGAAGGACTATTATACTTAGATTAGTAAGTACTCGTGCGCTGCACGGTTGGTGTTTAGATGTCAATTATGAAAAATTTAGACCAAATTAAGTTTTTTTGCAAATGTAGAGGACCAGTTCAAGAGTTATTCTTAAATTCAATATTACTACAAGTTGAAAAAGAAAATTTAAACTGGAAAACTATATCAAAATGGAAAGTGTATGTCTTTAGTATAATAATCCTCCTAACAGCCACTACTATAGTCGGTTCGAATTTGTTTTCAAAAAAAATATTTTTGTTGACTTAGAAAAATAGTTATTGAAATAAAAACTAAAATAAAATATCAAAACTCTAAACATACTAACGCCTTGAAAGATGAAAATCCAAAGGAGCACTAATTGTCCCATTGACATTCGCAAATCAAATAGGATAGACATATTCACATCCTTTACTACTACCAAACGAGTTCTCATCGTTCACCACATACCAATGACGTCATAGAGTATCAAAACATAAAATAGGTTGGGTAAGCTATACCACTAAGAGCATAATCTCTCTCAGTCTAAAAATATTTATTTTGTTGAATTTAAATAATAAATAACAGCACAATGAAAATGTTATTTTTTTATTTAACTATAAATATGAATTAACTGGCACTGAAAACCGTAATCAAACAATGTGTTTGAAAAAACAAAAAAGAATCCCCCCCTTCCCGCAAAAAAAAAAAAAAAAGGAAGAGAAACAAAACTGTAACCTTAGTTTTGAAATTTGAAGGTGAATAGGATCTGCGATTTGGGGGAAGAGCTACGGGAAAGTGGAAACTAGAGCATAGGAAATAAAATCTCAAAGACACAGAAACTCTGGAACTGGAAGTGAGGTTTTCTATGTAAACTCAGCAAGCAGAGGCTTTAGAGCATGCCTTTTCGGTTTGAAAGTTATTGCAAACCTGGGACTAAGTGAATGCGAAGTGCATATGGACGGTCAGATTGTCGCAAATGCGTTGCTACAAAAGAGTAAGGGGTCAGCTGCTTCTGCAAACGATTTAAGACTTTTTTTTTTTTTTTTTTGTCAAAGACGATATTCATTTTCAAAATATATAAGAGATTAAAGATAATTGTAATGAACTCTCATCTAGTTACAAAGTAACATTACTTTTCCAAATTTGTGTAGATTTGATAGACAATGTGAACTTAGCTAAATTGTGGCGTATAAAAGTTTACTATATTTTTTTATATTGTATAAAAGAATTCTTAAATAAGAAGATGTCTTCAACTATAGTAAACTAAGTAGCTTCCTCCGAAAGATGGCTTGTGTACCTCGTAGCCTAGTACTATTATTTTCACATGTAATTGCACTTTCATACATTATAACCTTCGATTTTGAAGACTTGAGAAGCGTACGTACATGTAAGATAAGGTTTATAGGTCTCTTGTAGAAGGACCACATAAGTTAGTATAGCTCCCTCCAATTGAAGTCTTATTTCTAATTTTTGAATATCAATGTAGTATAAGTCTTTCTTAAAAATAAAATAAAATAAAATAAACTTTGAAGGTGATGATAATCGATGAAGGATCGTCAAAATACTAGTTTGATAACAACATAAAATATTTCGGAGAAGATCACAAATATTCAACGATAATTGACCGTCAAAATACAATCCATTCACGTGTATTACACAGTACATATCGATGCCAGCTTGATTAGATTGCTTGTGGGTCTTTCCAATAATCATTCAAACTACTAAAAGAGCAGGCTCTTGAGCAGCTCCTCCCGCCAATTTTCCCCCCTCTTATCCATGTGTCACTAAGTGGGGCATCCAATTCTAGCCAAAACTTATGCATAATTTTCTGATTTTTTGACTTTCCTCTAATTCCAAATGAAAATGATCTCATCCACATGTTTTTGTTTCGTGGTGTGTTGTGGTAAATTGACCCACCTCTATTCAAGTGGGATAGTGTGGTTCAATTGTTTCTCTCTTTTTTTTTTTTTTTTTTGTTTCCGCTAATGTTCTAGGTAATACATCTATTTTTTTTTTATTTTTTTGTGCGTTGCCGCCATAAACCCCCAATGAATTGACATAATTACACTTTTCTTTTTTAGAAATTGTTCTAAGAGCATCAACAATAATACATATAATAATTCAACACAACATTACACTGCCACGTCAGCATTCCACTACACTCTCATTTTACACACTTTTTCCTACAACAATATTACACTCACTACCTATATAATTTTGGACCCACAACAATATTACACTCACTCATTTGATGATGAAGTGTATGATCCAGATTCGTTGATTCTTGATCTCTTTGATAACTCTTCAACAGTAGAAACAGCTGCCCATTTTGGATCATCTTTCACAATTTTCCACACATGCTCATGCACAAAATATTTTTTCTTAATTTGGTAATATACCTCATGAGCTGCATCCCTTACAGAATCATCACTCCACCCACTACGGTGTTCGTTCCATAGTCTATTGTAGTGTTGGTTAAATTCATTGACATACTTTGAAAACCAAAACCAATGAGACTTTAACTTACCTTGTTCTCTTTGTGGTAAAGATCCTCGGTTTGCATTGTAGTAGGTAGTAATCTTCTTCCAAAATTCCTTCATATCTTGCTAGTTTCCTGTAATGCTACAGTTAGAAACCGTGAGCCATGCACGAGCCAGAAGTATGTCTTCCTCCTTGCTCCAACCTTGATAATTTGAAGTATTTTCTTTTTCTGGTGCTTGCGATAAAGAAATATTATCCAAACCAAATTGAGTTGAAAATTGTGGAAAATAATCTTGGGGAGTTGATGCCCTTGGCGTTGCATTTGGAGAGTCATAGTCTCGAACGTCTCCTCTTGTTGAAACCGGTGTAGGTAGACTTCCGGAAGACGAACCTGTATTTATAAATCCCATTAGAAAATTATTTCCAATCATTTGAGAAAAATAACCGGGCGGTTGATACATCATGAATGGACTTGGGACATAAGGAGGCAAATTTGGGGTACCCAAATTTGGAGGATATCCAAAATTTTGCATATTATGATGAAAATTTTGGGGGCGGGGGGAATTTGGAAAATTGTGAGATAAATTTGCATTGTTTGTAGGATGATTTTTGTTATTTTTTCGGCTCATGGTAGTAGAAAATAGAAGAAACAATTTGAATAGTTGATGTGTAGTAAAGAAAGAACTATAAGTATAGAAGAGAGGAAAAATAGAGAAAGTGGTGTGTTATGAAAATCAATATTGGGGGTATTTATCGGCAAAATCTTAAATTATTCTCTTAAAAAAATTATCAAATTACAGTGCAAACATTTAGAAACGGCTAGTTTTTTCAACGTTCAAAAATTTCTACGGCCACAAATTTGACAACCAAAATGAAAAAAATTTTTTTTGGAGATGCTGTGAAGAAGACAAAAAAAAAGGACTTATAACGGTCACAAAAATAAAGAAATTTTATTTTTGATGTTGAAGACGACAAAACTCAGATTTAAGGAAAAAAAAAATAAAAATAAAAACATGAAATGGGTTTTGCAGGTTGATAACAATATTTAAAAAAAAAAACGAATTACCAAAAAAAAAGGAAACAAAATAAGGCAAAAAACAAAACGAAAGAATACGTATGGTACCTGACCATTCATGGGTCCTAGCGATAGAAAAATCGAAAAAAAAAAAAATAGTGGCTGCCCATGTGATGGGCTCCACGTTGCCTCACATTTTGCCAGATTCAACCGATTGAAATATATTAAACACCTGATAAAATTACGCGACTTGCAATGGATATCTCCTTTTTTCTACTGATATTTAACAGCAATTAAACCATTGCTGTGAATGCCCTAAAAGCATGCTCAACAATTCTCAGGCGTTGTCGCCCAAAGAACATATAATTTAATCACCTTCTAGTCTATCAATTGTGGATTTTAGTTATTGAGTAACTTATTTTTTAAGTCTTGCTCTTCTTTTCTATCATAATCTTCTTTTCTCTTTCTTTTTTTTTTTTCCAGAAATTGAAGTCCGGTGCTATAAATTCATGGCTACCTCGGCAACCTTCTTACCGTTGTTACTTTCACCGACTACGACTTCAACATAAACACATACTATTCCTGCGAGATTGATGCAAGCGCACACCACTATGCCTAACAAATCAGAATCAGCTCTTTCCTTTTAGCGTCTGATTCCATCTCTTTGGATGTTGATTTCACGATTTAAATTAATCTCAGGTAATTTTTGTTCATGAACCTTTTTCATCATGGATGTTGGGTTCATATTAATCAATTCCTACTCCTTCTATTCATATTCCTAACTATTCCTTATACTCTTTCTGTTACTTTTTATATCTTGTTGAAGATAATAAATTTATTCTCTTATTTTTTTTTTTATCTTGTTACATAAGCTAACATTTTACAACAGTTTTACAAAATATTTACCAACGTCACCCTACCTAGAGAAAAATCCCACGTCAAAGATGGACCAAAATCTGGTAGCATGGTCCTGAAATTTTGGCAATCATAAAAAAACGCCCCAAACCAAACACAATTGTGGATGGGAAGTCACGTTGAGACAGTAAGTAAAACAATGACCAAGAGTTCCGAGAAAATATTGAGGTGCACGTAAAAGCTGCATTTGAGGGCTTATTTCACCACGTCAGTTTATATCCTCACACTATAAATACTCCCTCCATTCCAAAATAAGTGTCGTTCTAGAATTTGCACATAGTTTAAGAAAACGGTAACTAAATTACTAGAATATCCTCAACCAACCCCATTAAAATAAATGTTCCCTAATAATATTATTTCTTTTGAGGGTATGTTTGGAAATTTTTGAAAAAAAATGCATTGAAATCCGAAAACGACACTTATTTTAGAATTTCTCCATTTTGTTAAAACGACACTTATTT